ATGGTTGATGATTTCTCCACAACATATCTATTATCATTACCAAATGACAGAGAAAAACAAAATGCTCATGCATACTCTGCTTACAAACAGTGCTTTTAGGTCATTTTTTCCCTAAATAGACATACCTATCTTTTTTACATAAGAACATTTTTACTGTTTTTGTTTCTTTTCATGTTTCTTTTCACATTTCACATCAATAATAAACTCCATTTCTACTTGGTTAGTAATCTACCACAAGTATTTTCTTTTATTTTAATTTTTAAAATTTTAAGTGTAGCCTTATCCACCAACCTCTAAAATTGGACAGTTAATTGTTTCTGATGTCTTGTGTACCTGCCAATATTCGTCGAGATCTTGGCCTCCTTGAAGCCACTTCATATCAGATAACCTTAAGTGAGGTTACCAGACAGGCTGGAGTCTACAGGACGAGCCGGCCGTGCCACGTCCTCACCCTGTGGCCAAGGGCAGTCTCAGGTCTCGCCCCGTCGGGAGCCAGTGGCTTTCTCAGACTCCCTGGTGTGTCCCTTCCCTGACCTAACTCTCCTCTCAGCTCACTCCCACCTCCTCTCTTCTCCTTCCCGCCGCAAGGAGATTTTGGCTTTTTAAAAAAAAAAAACTATGGAACATCACAAATGCATATAAAAGTTCAAATGCGCACAAAAATTCACCTCAAAAGTCCTGTTTCATGTCCACACAACAGCCCTGGGTCCCATACACTACCCACTACCTTCACTTAGAATTTCCAGATAGCACGTAGTTTTATTGCTAAACATTGGTGTAGGTCACACTAAATAGTGAACGTTTTCAACGCACTTGAGTTATTACTAAAACTTAGCAAGAACCTTTGAATATTGTCAAAGACTCGGGCATATTATCAAATACTCAATTTCCCCATGTTGTTTCTGTAAAGGTTTGTTATAGATGATTTGTTGGACTCAGGTTCCAAAAGATGTACTCTATATGGCTTTCAATCCATGTTCTCTTTAGCGTCTTTTAATCAATCCGTCTCATCTGTTTCAATATTAATGACTTATTTGTTAAAGAAATAGGTAGGGCCCTCCCTGGTGGTGCAGCAGGTTAAAGCACAGCACTAAGAAGCTAGAACCACTTCAACATGAGTTCGATCCCTGCCCCGAAGGTGACCCACACGGTGTGGCAGACCTCTCCTGACCCATCCGCTGTTCCCCTCAGCAGTATATTTTGTCAATCGGCCTGTTCTGCTCCCTACTCTGTCTTTGGTGAATCCTCTCACCCTCCTGCACCTCTGGCCTGTACCCTAGTTCTGTATGCATAAGCAAATAAATCTTTAAAAAAAAAAAATAGGTGACTTACCCTGTAGGGTGCTCCACACCTCAGATTTGCCGATTGCTTCCCATGGTGTTATTTAGTGGTTTCCTCCATCCTGTTATTTTTGCGGTCTGATAGCTCAGTCCAGGGTAGAGGCATGTTCTGATCTCAATTTGGTTTGTTGGCAGGAATACTTCACAGCTGGTGTCTATAGTCACAAGAAACCCACTAGCATCCTATTCAGTTATTTTATCAAGAGTTTGAAAAACAGTAATGTTCATATTCTCCTCTTCCTTCTGTATTGGACAAACTCTCCTTCATCCAATGCTTGGTTCCCTGCGTAACTTGGTATAATTCATACAAAAGAGTCACTTTTCAGAATTTTCTTTCTATATCCTAAAAAGGTGACCACGGGGGATTATTTGAGCTGTTTTTGTTGTTTTTTTTTCCTTTTTTCAGTATTAACATGAACTCATGGGCTTAAATATAAAGTGTGCTTCAATACCCATTAATTTTCATTCTCACTGATGTGCAAACATTTCCATTTTTCACTACTGGGAAACTCTTCAAATCAGCTCAATTCTTTAAATATCCTCCAGGACCTGACTGTGTTTTGGTATGACAAGGGCTTCCAGATTCTTCTGCTATCTGGATGAGGGAATTATTGTTCTTCCTAATAAGAAACAGTATTTAGAGATAAGAGCTAGGTATGAAGGAGGGTCATTGCTACTGTGCAGGGAACTATTCTAGCCCTTTCCAGGAAGATATATTTTTCTTTTTTTAATAGAAAGTGTATCTTGATAAGTTTTCTCTTTAAATTGATTTCATATTTGATTTTTTACTATTTGACCTTGTTCATATTTAATTTTATATAACTTTATATTGATATTAAACATGCAAGTACTGTCTTACTTGCCACTTAGGTTTTGTTTACATCTTTTTTTATTCACACTAAAACAGGTCTAGTGACATTAACATGTTGCTAATTTGCTCTATCTATAGCTATATTTCTGAGGGCAGTATAACATTTTTATTTTACAGTTAATTTTGTGTTAGGATATATCCTCCTTATGGATGTTAAATTAATATTCTATAAAATCATTTGAAATAATTCCCTTTTGTGAAATTATGCCACCTACACATTAAGTTCATTTGATTCATTTTACTCTCAATTTTAGGGATTTTTTTAATGTTGTTTTAATTAGTTTTATAATTCTTTAGGCACTTGCATAGTTCCACATGAAATCCAGAAAAAGAGTAGTTTCAGGGAAGCCTGACTTGAAATTCCATCCCATGCCTTTCTTCTCCATTCCCCGGCGGTTGCCATTTTTGGTTTTTAGTTTATTCTTCTTTAGTTTTCTTTTACTATAAGCAAATAATATAAATGCACACACACACTTGTATTCTCTCCTTCTAGACAAATGGCAGCATAATACCCAAATTTCTTCCCTTGCCCGGGAATTGTTCCCTGCAAGCAGGGGAGATGCTTCTTTTTCCTTCTACAGCAGCATAGTGCTCCCCGAGGAGAAGGAACCCAGTTCTCAGGCCTCCACTCACCAAAGCCTCGGGAGCAAGCTCCCAGGATTCCAGGCAGTGCAGACCTGCTGCCCAGATGCCCAGATGCCCAGACACCCAGTCTTGATAGAGCCAAGGCAACCAGTGGGTACCACTGGCCTGTGGTACCCACCCATCCACCTGGTGGAATGCCTGCATCATCTGTTTACTATTTGTAGCAATCCTATGAAATAGGTACCAAATTGAAGTTTAAAGAAATCAAGCCCTGTGTCTGAGGTCACATAGTTGGTGTGGAATAGACCTAGGAGCCAAACATTTATGTCTCTGAGATCAAAATCTACAATCTTAGCTGCTCAACATCAAGCTCTCCAAACTTTACCTCCCAATCTCCTGTAAAGCTCTGGGGCACTTGTGAATCACACCCAAAGGCTCCTGGGAATCAGGACCTCAGAGACACAGCAGAGGAGGGTGGGAGTCCATACCAGAGTGCCTGCATTCAAGTCCCAAACTCACCTTCTCCTACTTTTGTGACTTTGGATCACTTGTTTAACTTCTTATGCCTCAGCTCTCTTACCTGTAATACTACAGTGAATGAAGGCCTCATATTCCTGAGACACAGCCCATGTCCAGGAAATTATTGAATCCAGTTGAGTAGGAAGCTGCTCTGCAGCAGCAGCTCCAGGAAACGACCTGTAGCTACAGAGGAAGGACAAGCGGGGCCCGCTCGTCCAGCAGCGGGTATTCTTTCTTCTCCAAATTTAATCCCCCACCCATCAGATCTTATTCTTACCCAGTCTTCAGAACTTATTAGAAATGCCCCACTGAGAGACAGCTCCAGCCATCTGGATGGCCGAAGAACTATTGCTCTGAGATTAGCCAAGGGGAGATGCAAGGGAGTAAGAAGCCCCAGCACCCTGTGTTCCCCCATCCATTCACTAGCATGTGCTAGGCGCGGCGGGGGGGGGGGGGGGTCAGATAGTCAAGACCTCGGGAACCTACCTTCTGAGAGGAGTGTAGAAGCATAATCCATGCTTCTACAGGATGTGGAGGAGTCATGCTAGTGATCAGTGCGCAAAGAACGTCACCATTGTGACATGATGGAGAATGATGGGGTGGTGGGCGAGGGTCTTTATAAAGGTCTTTTGGAGGAAGTGATACTTTGCTGGTGTTTGGATGGGGAGAAGGGAGCAGCCGTGTAAAGATGAGGAGCAGAGTGCTCATGTGGAGGGCCAGCAGGTCAAAGGCTCCAAGGCAGGAGGTTCGCTACATACGCCAAAAGAAGAACGGAGGTTGGTGTGGCCGGAACCACTGTGAAAGCAGTGATTCTCATCTTGGTTCACCTGTGAAGACCGAACCATCCCAGCCTGTGCCAGAGGTGGTGGGCAGTGGCTAACCGGTGGCCTTCGTCTCCCACCTGATGCAGGGGGAAGAGCGCAGGCAAAGCGTGGGGTTGGGCTTTGCACACCAACCCTGCCCAGAGGCCCTGCCCCCACCGCCAGCTGCATTGTGTGATCCCCACACACTCACACTTCTCTGCACTTAGGGAGAAACAACTCTTTCAGGAAGGCCATTTCCAGGGCATTTTAGTGATGAATACCATGGATGAAAAGCAGTCTGGGAAGACAGGGAGGACTGACTTTGAGACCAGTTATGCTGCCAGTTGTATCATTTGGGCAAGGAATTTCACCTCGATAGCCTTGTTCAGCCTCTGGAAATGGATCTCAGAATGGATCTTTCTTAAGATGGCTATAAGGAGGAAAATACACAATGTGGATACTATGGCTCACCCCTCATCAAGTAGATACTTGAAAAACAGCAACTGCCACCGTTCTCCTTTATTAACAAAATGTATTTCCCAAGGGCCAATATTTTACCAATCGTGGCAGAAGCAAACTGAAACAATAATACTGATATTCAGGAATACAAAACCCCTCTGTAACACCTAAACTCAGAACAACTGATATGGGGAAGCTGAGACATTTTCACCATGAGCATCAATGTTGATTCTATGAACCAACTGGCCTGGTGGAGAGGTGGGTGATGAAGGAGGGGTTCCCAGCTCTAGGAAGAGCTGGCACTTGCATCCTGTAAAACATGGTGCCAGCCATGTGGGCCATTGTAAATTTGCTATTAACCACAGTAAGACAGTTAAACATGTGAAAACAATCTTAACAATATATTTTATTAATAGCCAAAGTACCATCATTTTAATGCAGATGTAGTGCAATATTCAAGACAGATTACCAAGGAGATGCTTTGCAGTCTTCTTGTTTGTTTCCCATTCAAAATCTTCAAAATCCAGTGGGCGTTTTACACTTGCAGAATGCTCAGTTTGGACCAGGCAGGGTTCAAGTGCTCATCAGTCAGATGGCGAATGAAGGGGACAGGGGTTCACTCACACACTACAGCCTGCGAGCCAAGTCCATGCAGCACCCCTATTTTTGTGCAGCTTCATGCAGCTTAGTTTCATGCAGCTTAGTTTCGTGCAGCCAAAAATGATTTTTTAATAAGTATATTCTGTTTTATGTGAAAATTAGATGAAATTCAAATTTCTGTGTCTATAAATACTTTTCTTGGAACATGGCCATGTTGATTTGATTATAGATCTTCTCTGCCTGCTTTTCATGGTCAAGCTGAGTAATTGTGACAAAGACCATCTGGCCTGCAAAGCTAAAAACATTTACTGTCCAGTCTTTTACAGAAAGTTTGTTGCCCCATGCTCTAGAAAGCTGAGCCCATCTTCCCCAGCTCCTCCTGAAAGGAAGTTCCTGATCCCGCCTCATGGAGGAATGGCGTAGGTAGACTCCAGACGTGCGGATGGCCAGCCTCCAGAGGGTTGTCATGGTTTTGTCGGTGTTGGTGGCGTTGTCTAAACTGGATTTACTTCATTTCACAGCCCGGGTTTGGCTTTTGTCACGTAAATCTTTCATTGTCAAATCCTAAGCAAAGAATCGAAGGAAAGGTCTTCAGGCAAGTCCAGAGCCAGAGCAACCCTGAGCTGACTGTATGGCACCTGGCTAGTCCATTTGCAAAAGCAGTAACCCTAGGGAAAGGACCTCTGTGGCCAGGTGGGCAGGCTGTTTCCAATCCTGAGTTCCAATCCCTCACCCCCACCACCACCAAAATAAAGCCAGCCCCTTTGAACTAGGCTCTACAAACTCATTCATGCAACCCTATGAGGGAGGCACTGACCCAGAGTTCCTGGTAAGGAAATTGATCTGAAGAAGGGGCCCGATTGCTCAGGCCCCTCAGCTCGTGCTTATCAAGCCCAGCAGGCCCTGAGCCCCAGGCTCACCCTCCTGCAGTGAATTCCCATCTTGCCATCAGTCCTGAGAACACATTCTCACTGAGCCAACGCTGAAGATGGAACCCCCTCAGTTCCCATAACAAGTCAGTAGCTAAGGAGGTACCCTCACCAGACTTTGCTTTCTCTCTAGGGAAACAGGTGGGTGGAAGGAGGCCGTGTTCCCTGGCCCTGGGCTAGAGGAGCAGCTGATTTGGATAGTGGAGGTGTGTGCGCAGAGACATACGAGCTGCATGGGCAGGCGGTAGTTGAGCCCTTATCCACATCCTCAGCACCTGGTAGCTAGTAGCTGTGCAACCTCCAGGGCTCTGTGAGTCTCCATTTCCTCAACTGTAAAGCGGAGTCAGGACCTGATATCACAGGGATGTAATGAGGACTTAGTGGGAAAAAAGCACTTTTTAGTGCCGGGCACATAATGGGGACTCAGGAAATCTCTTGCCTTCCCCTAATTCCCTGACAGGTAGTGGTTCAAGAGGACAAAGCAAAATAACGCCAGGTCCTAAGACAGTGTCCAAGGAATAAGCTAATTTTACCTAGGGACTTGGCACTTTGGGAAGGTTTTCTGTGTGAGCTAGTGTGGTTATGCGTTGTTATTTAAAGCCCTGGAAATAAAAATAAATAAATAAAAATTACAAATCAAAGCCTTGGAAACACCCTAATTTCCTGGAGAAATTTATGCAAACAACGCCTAAAGAAGCTTGAGCAGTGCTGAAGAAAAGCTGGGCCATGTAGCTGCGTCACAAGGGTAGAAGGAGCAGAGGAACCATCTCCTGCCCTTTGCAGGGATTTAAGTGTCAAATATCCAGAAACTGGCCTGAAAGCCCAATTCTGCGTTGCCCTCATTATCAGCTTTGAACATTTCTAATTAATGCAGACACAGAATAGTAAATGTGCTGCAAAATTAAGTTAGCAAGCATCACACACGGCTTGGGTAAGAGGGAGACAGCTTCACCCACACAGGAGACGGGCAGCTCCCACAACCTTCTTGAGGCGCCGCTGAGACTTGGGGCAGCAGAATCACTGCGAGGATGGGACATGGGCGCGCGCCACCTGAGGACAGCTTTATTTATGCTCTTGCAGAATGTACCAGTGGGCCTTGTTTTTCTGGATGACTAGGGAGCCAGCTCACATAGCGTCCGTGATTCTACATTTAGAATTGTGTCTTCATTCACATTCTTTCCACGCGGCTCACAGCTCCTGGACTGGAAGAGAGTGGCCACTTTGCCTGAGACCTTCACCCAGAACGATGCCAGCTTCGGCCCATGCAGACCCTGGGATCCTGGTTGGAAGCCGGGGCTGAGCTCTCTGGCAGTGCTCTGCATGGGGGTGGTCCATGCTAGTGCACCCACCATGACCGGACCAGACGTGGCATCCCTGGCACAGGGCAGGTGGAGAAATCGGATTCTGCAGCGGTCAGCTGTGGTCAGGCTAGCTGCAGGGGAACCTGGGCCAAGCTCCGAGGGCTCCTGCTCCCAGGACAGGTTCTTGCTGCATCAACTGTGTTTTATTGTTCTTCCCCGACCCCTCCTGCCGACGTCTTGACAAAGCTGCCCTGCCCCCTGAGTGTTCCTGGGCCATCCTCTGGTCTTCTCTTCTCAATCAGCCACTTCAAGCGAACGCCATCAGCTCCTGCGGCCCTGCAAAGCTCACCGCCTCTGGGATCCTAAGCCAGACATGAGGTCATGTTCTCCACCTGTGCAGACTTAAAAGTAAGCTGGGAAAGAGATATCCTGAGGAGTGGGGGGAGAGCAAATTAGGAAAATCAGGGCCCCTGCTGAATCATTGAATCATGTTACTTGCGCCCCAAAGCTCATGCCTCCCCAAACTGAGATTCAGTAAAATCCTAAAATCTGGAACAAAATGATTTAGGTCAAACAGCTAACATGTGAACTCACTAAAAATTTGTTTCCATGTGAACTGGAAAAACATTAACTAAAACAGCAAATCCATGGTTTTGTGCTTACCAAAATCTCTGTTTTTGAAAAAAGTAACCAATTTTCATTACAGAAAAAGAAAAGACAATAGAACAGGATGTGGCAAAATTATGATTAAAAAATGACAAACTTTTGAGAAGTTTTGCAATATAGGAGCATAGCTGTGTGTAGATGAACCATGGAGCATAGACACTGTTCATCTCAGAGATGGCTAAACTGAGGCACTTGGGCACAGAGAGGTCAAGTAGATTTGGCTAGCATCCAATCGCTAAGAAATACAAGGAGGCAGGGCTTCCGATCCTGTTTGGTTTTGCTGCTTTAACTTGGCTTACCTCTCAAGTTGCTTCTTTTCATTTTCCAGGTTGGCTAGTATTGGCTTTGACAAGCAAGGAAGGTAGGTGGGGTGGATAAAATCAGGGAGTTCACTTGAGTCCGCCTGGACCCATGTCTGGTGCTGACCATTGAGCAAAAGTCCCCGCAGTCAGATCTTAGGTTCTCAGGACAAAAGGTCAGTTTCTGGGCCTCTGGGAAGAAAAGGGACTGGGTACACCTACTGGTAGGTGTCTGACTCTCACCTTGGGATCACTGGAGCGGTTCTTTCTGACTCACATCAAAGTCACGTACATAGACCTGATTCCCGGTGACCCTGGCCACAGGCAGGGTCAAGGCTGGAGGTAGTGCCAAGCCCTGAACTGGGTCTAGGATGGATGCTGCTGGCCAGGAGGAGCCCACAGCATAGGAGCGTAGTCCACAAATAGATGCAGAGCTGCAGTGTGAGGCATACTTCCCAGGCTTTGGAGCCAGACCTCTGTGTGCGCCTCTCTGGCAGCCACACACAGCAGGGCCCAGCATCTCTGCTTCCCCACAGGGCAGGGGAGAGGATGAACAAATGGGCTCTTGGAAAGAAAGAAAAAAAAAACTGGGTGTGTGTTAAATCCTTGCAGTGAGTGGACACTCACAGGGCCAACTCGTGGAGGATAAGGAAGGAACCAGACCGAGTGACGGCATGGGGGACAGGTGAGATCCGGGGTCAGCGAGCAGTCTGGGGAGCAGATGACCCCAGGCCAAGACAGAAACTGCCACTGGGAAAGCAGATAAAAGCCCATCGGGGGGTTGTGCGAGGGACAATCTTGCCTGGCAGAGCCACCCTTGCTCAACTGGAGCTGCCAAGGCCAAGCTCACAAGTGGACACTTACCTCGCCTCTGCCCTGATTATTCCTGTCTTTCTGCAGCTCTCACCCTGACCACCCAGCCCCACCTTGCCCCAGTTTGCAGGTGGGCACGTTAGTTTGCTCCAAAAGCATGGGCGGAGTAGCCTCCTTCCTCGAGGAATGCAGGCTGAGTTCCCCAAGCCGATGATGAAACGGGCTATTTCTGCCCCGGGACATCAGCAGGTCTCCGGGCGCTGGCTCTAAGGCACGCTATCGTGTTTTTAGTGTTTCCCCAAACAAATGTTTTCTCTCAAACCTCACAATAATTTTATTTGAATCCAGGAGCTGGAGGAGCTTTAGAAATCATTCTGGACCGAAGTTAGAATAGGGGTTAGGGTCCAGCTAAGGGACAAGCAATTTCTCACTCCCCAAGTTATCTATTACCCGTGGCCGATCTGGATGTAAAAATAGCTGCTGAGGCTGTTTGTTTAATCTGACTGTTACTTGACACCACGCGGGTGTTGCAGTGCGGACTGTTTGCCTCTTCCCCACTAAGAACACCATTTGGTTTCCCCCGGCTGGGTCTCTATTTAGGTACGCTTCATGAACATTCAGCTTCTGGTCACTGATTTTCTGCAGGTGGGCAGACTTGCGCAAAATAGAGGTTTGGGTCTTGAATCCATTCTGCTCTCATCTCTGGGCAGCCCAGCTAGCACGAGGGTTTAAAAGGCTGCTGGGCAATAGGGCTGCTGGAAGAGTCAGGTTCTCTCCCATTCCTGAGAAGGCCTGAAGAGCAAGCAGCCGGGACACTCGGAAAACAGAAGGTAGGGTGCGGACACTCGCCCGGGTTCTTAGCGTGGGCAGGGAGGCTCAAGTTCCCTGCAGCAGGGTCATTCACTCGGGGCCGGCGGTATGGGGGTGCAGTTCTGTGCCAGAGCACTGGGCAAGGCAGTGTGAGTGCCCAGGGATATGCCGGGGCTGAGCTCCCTGGTGCTGGGTGTGCCGTGGTGCTGGATTGCCATGCGGACAGTGAAGGGTACGCCATTCAGAGCACATGGATAGACTGAAGTCCGTGGCTTTGGCCTTCCGGGTATCTGTCGGGGCACTCTGCTCCCACATGGTTGAGCAGGCATAAGCCTGTGGACATGCCCAGGTCACTGCCTTGCCCAATGGGAGCAAACCCATGATCGCAAGCTCTACTGGCTAGCCTGCGTCCCCCAGAACTCGGGGGGCAGGATGCTATCAGCTGTAGCAAAGAGGACAGTTGTTCTTTGGGACATTCTGGCCTGGACTCTAAGAGCATGTGTGTCCTCAACACAGGGTCCTCCTCACCCCCAGACTGTGTGCACTTCCCTATCCTAGCGATCCCCAACCAGCCTCTTACAGAATGGACTTCAGTGAATCTAGACTTGTTTATTGTCTTATGAAGAATTGATCATAGAAAATAGCAATTTTGACTATTTGTGGAAAGCTGGAAAAATTCCATAACTTATTACTTAGGACTTTAAAATACCCCATTGATGTTGATAATGGAGAAGGCTCTGCAGGTCAGGAGGGAAGGAACTACTACATGGGATATCTATACTTTCACTCACTCATTGCTCAATTTTTCTATAAACTTAAAACAACTCTAGAAAACAAGGGCTGTTTTCAAGAAAAGAACTAACTTTATGGACTTTTGTTTTAACCCAATTTTAATAAACCATCTTTGAAGCAGTATTTTAAAAATCTCAATAAGATATATAAGAATCCTGGGCAATAGGTTAAACAAATGTTTGTATGAAATGAGATCTAATTTTTCAGTATTTGAGCTCCTTTACAGCATTGGTTGTAAACCCTGACTTGATTTTTTTTCAATAAAGTTTTATTGGCACACAGCCACACTTGTTCATTTCCTTAGCATACGGCTGCTTTCATACCACCACAGCCAAGACCACATGGCCAGCCAAATAAAAACACATACTATATGATCCTTTACAGAATAAGGTTGCTAGCCTCTGCTGTATGGGAGCACTCCTTGGCATGGGGCAGACTGGCACGTGTGTGTGTACGCATGCTGTAACGTGCCGGCTGTTTACAGGCCTATGTGCAGGCCTTCAAGACCAGTGTCCAACTGGTCTTGAGGCCCCTGCCTCTCCTCTGGGCCAGATTTTCAAGTCTAGCTGTTACAGGAAATGTTCAGTTTGTCACTGGGAGGCTTAGCTTTGCTGTGGAGTGTGGCCTGGGCTGAGCAGGGCAGATGGTGCTTATCGGGAGGGTTTATAAATAGACATCTCGGGTGACCCGAGTCCAGCATGCGTCTGCCCCGAGTCTTTGGGAGAACAATTGTGCCTGCTCTTTGGTGACCAGAAGCTCTCTGGGATGGGAGCAACTGTGCCCACCGGGGGACAAGGGACTAGTGGAATGTTGGGTCCTAGAACAGAGGTGCTCGGATCCCCCAGAGACTTAGGAGACCAGGCAGTGGGGGGTAGACTGGGAAGCCCAAGAAGGCCACGAGTTCTCAGGGGAAGAATGTGTCCACCCCTGTGTCTTCTCACCAGGATTTGGATGAGCGTCTTGGTGCTTTCCTCTTCTTTGCTTCTGACCCTCAGGAAGCCCTGGAGACCCTTAGAGAAAAAGGAGAAGCCCCTCTCTGTAGACAGCCCTCTTTCTCCAGCCCGTGCCAGCAATCTCAGGAGCCAAAAACCTGTAGAGCCCCTCTAGGCCATCTTCCTTTTTGTTTCCTGGGATTTCACTCCAGCAGCCCAGGTTGCTAGAGAGAAGCAAAGAGATTTAAAAGAAGCTAGCCCTCATGGAGATGCACAGTGCTGACATTTCGCAGCAGACTAAAGTGGATCTTGGTTTTATTTACATCTGAGGGATTAACCACTTTTCACCAAATCCAGTCAGTTCACAGCCCTGTCCCGCAATCTGATGTTCCACTTAGTTGGGAAAACCCAAAAAGCCTATTAGTTTCACCTTGGTTCCCAGGGTCTGATTGACATGAACAGGTAGAGGTAGAGGGAGGGGACTGGACAAGAGATCAGTTAAGGTACATAGATCAAGACCCCCAAACAGAACATGTGAGACATGGCTGAGATATGTTATCCCAATGTAAGTCATCCGTAACATTCTGGTACATTCCCCAGTCATACATGGCCTCCTATGTCAAAGTAGAGGATGTGTAGACTCTCAGCTGACTGAAGACACCTTAGTACTAAGTGCACCCCCTTCTGAGTCTATACCAGCTGGCTTCCAGGTACTTGAAGGCACAGCCAGAGTCTGACAGCAGGAGGCCAAAGAGCCAATCACCAAGAAGGCTTCCTCCCTTTCTTAGTAGGAAGGAAGAAGAGGCCTTTCTGCACACGCCCATGAAGGTAGGGGACTCCCTCATGTCCTCCATTTGCTGTCTGAACCTTGGAGGTTCAGCCCAGAGAGGACATGAGCACGGCACAGGCCACTGAGGCTGGGAAGGACTCTGAGTCCCATGGTCCCATGGAGACCCCAGGGGCTACTAGGGGCCTCGGTACTCAGGGTGCTGTGGTCTCTTCTGTCACTGAAAATCCCCGTGGCCAGGGGTGTTGAGCAGGGTGGGACGTGAGCTATTAAGGGCTGTCTTTAGGGAGGTGTTTTCTCAAACATCTCTCATCTCAAAGTGCCCGTCGGAAGTAATGGAAGGCAGGAGAAGAAGAGACCCTGAGCTCTTAACTGACCCAGCCCTTTGCCCACTCCCTGCCTGCTCAGGAAGCTGGCTTCAGGGCTCCTTCCTGCAAGCACTACCTTTAATGTCAGGCCATGCTGCAGCTGATCCTCAGCTTGCCAGGTCCTGGGTCAGCTAGGCCACAGGCAGCACCACCAGTCTCTCCTCTCACTTGCCCAGCCTGCCCCTCTCTGAGGCACACCAGGCCTGCCTGAAGGTGTGAGGTCAAGGTGGCAGAAGTCAGACCCACTGGCTCAGAGCTATTCCTCACTCTTGGTGTGGCCACCAAGTCTCATATCTGCTCCTACAATCTCCAAACCCCAGGACAAATACTCCTGGAAAATGTGAAAGGGAGAAGCGAATGAATGAACAAATGGATGATGTTCTGGATGCTGGGTTAATACTCTCTTTTACTTTAATGCAGCAGTTCTCAACCAGGGGTGATTTTGGCCAACCAAGTGGTGTTGAGGTTGAGAAATCCTGTTTTAAACATATTTTGTATTACTGGTCCATTTTACAGATTGGAAAGCTGGGGCTCAAAGACCTGGGTAATCTAGCTGAATTTATACTCAGTAATTGTGGAGTTGGGGAGTCCCAACAAACAAGAAGGTCAGGGGGCCAGACAGCAGCAACATCATTTCTGCTGGTTTGCCCCCCACTGGTTCCCCATCTTTCTTCTCCAAGTCAATTTCCCGTGAACCTTCCCTGAGCTCTCCGTAAGAATAGCATTTACCCCAGGTCTAGGAAGGCACAGGGGGAGAAGTGATGTGTTGATTAGGGTCAGTTCTGCTCCGATATTTACCTTTCATGCCAATGTAATTGCTGCCCAGTAAACTTGGGTGTTTCTGAGTCCACAAGGGATACTGAGGGCCCCTGTCCAGGGGGGCCTGTGGCTGTAGAGAGCTCTTGTGGAACAGCTGCCAAGAAGCTGGACAGCACAAGCTTGAGCCCCTTTCTGACAGAGGGGAGCACCCAGAGATTGGCAGGGGCCAGCCCCCAGTCACCAGGGCTTCCAGGTGTGATCCGTGACAATACTCAACTTCCAGAAATGGTCAGAAACAGTGTGAAGATGCATTGCTGATCTACTCTGTGCAATGACCCTGCCCGCACACCTTTACTGAAGCAACCACAAGTGTGTAAGAGCCTGTGGATTCAGAGGTGCCTGGAGCCCCAGCACTGCAGGAGGACCCATTATACATACGCCTCACCCCACCTCTGCCTGGGTCACCAGGTCAGAAGAGGCAAACTGGTTGTAGAAATCAGCCAGGGATACAAAGCAGGCTTCTGCCCAGAAGACCTGTTGTTAAACTTGACTCAGCCTCCTCAGTCACGCCACCAGGGACCAGGAAAAGAAGCCCAAGGGGCAAGTTGCTGGGAGACTCTGGAAACACAGACCATCTCTCTGGTCTCTCCTCCTCCTCTATATCTCTCTGCTTCGATGGTGTCCTTTCTCCTGTGATGAGGTTCCTCTCTGATTATGCGATGCCAGGAGCCAGTGGGTATCTCTGGTGGGGCCAGCCCTGGCCTTTCCTGGGCTGGGCACCCTGGCCCCTAACTTCAGACAAGGTCCTAGTTCTGGGCAATGACAAAGACTCCCAAGGAAACATCCTGCCCAGACACAGCAGACGAGCGCACCAGATCAGAAGTGGGATTCAGGCTGGGCTGAGCTTCAGAGAAAAAGCATCTGTCCCCTCCAACTCTCTCTGGATGGCAGCAGAATACCCACAGCTGCTGTGACCGCCCACTCATAGCCGGCAAGCCCAGGCAAGCTGGGTTCTTCAGCCGCATTCCCCGGGATGTCCAGGACTCCTACGTGTCGCCGGGAAGTGAGGCCTCACATGCATGTGGTGAGACTTGAGGAGATGGCAGACACGTGCAAACCAGAGCTGCTATCCAAGGCCCCAGGACCAACCACGCTGTGCTCCTGGGGCTGAGTAAAGCTGACCTTGGACCCCCAAGGGTCACGGGAGCCTCGGGGCCAGTCTGAAAGCCCTTGGCTTCCCAGTCAGTGCCTCATTGGAATTATTCAAGCTAGAACGAGGATACACATTGACTCTCTCCCCTGTCCTAGGGTGCCAAGTACCAGGCCCACGGAGCCAAAGTGGCAAATCAAAAGTGAGCAAATCAAAACTGGGCTGTACACAGCCCATGGCACTGCCCCATGGAAACCAGTTTAAACCAACCGAAGGCAATGAGAGTAAATGTGGCCCAGCATCCTCTTGCTGTTTCACACAGAGAGGGCCCAGGTAAGCTGCATCTCTGGACTAGAACAGGGTGGCACACGTTAGATGCCCAGGAAGAGTGGCTGGGCAGACGAGTTCCTGAGGAGCTGAGTCCCTTTCTTCCAAATCGCACATAAAATACTAGTAATTTCTGATTTCCAAAAGTCAAAAGGAGTTCTGAGAACAGAGCAATCACTTCATTGAGGGATAGCTGTTGTGGAGACATTATGGTGCTAGGGCAAAATGCAGGGGCCGTCAGGAAGGAGCGAGTGATGAGCCCAGGCAGCTCTGTCTCCTCAGCTCTGCATGGGAAGACAATGGTCTTCCTCGCTGAGCTTTCCCAAGAATGTATAAGCTCAGGCACTGCAGGGGTGGGGCTGGAGCCTGCCACCTCGTAGACTCTCAGTGCATCTCTGCACCCTGTCCTGAGGTCCCCCAAATAAGGAAGTCAGCTCTGCCATTTTCTCGTTCACCTCATAAATCTTGGGATATAGACAGAGACATGAAATAGCAAGATGGAGAAATGATGGCAATTGTACAGAGAGGTCAAGAGCTTGACCCAAAACTAACCACTAGGGCGTTTGTCCAGAGCAAAACGCCAGCCTGGAGTGGGGTGTGGAGCTAGAGGCCGCGCACACAACATCTGCATTCTTGGGCTGAAATGGCCCCATCTGCATACAGACAAAAACTGTCACAGTTCACTACACCAAACTGCTCCTCAAGGCAAGCCCACGTCAATGTCTCAAAAAACACCCAGAAAAAGGAAGGAGGAGAATCAATTTCAATTTGTTAGGGCCTTCTGGGTGCGATAAAGCCAACCCCTGTCATCCACCAGCTTCCTACTTCCCCTTTACCAAGAAGTGAAAACACCATTCAATTAAGGTAATTAAGCCCAGCTGAAAGGCTGACGCTCCAAAACCACACTACAGGCGAGTGGTCAGGTCCAGCAGCAAAGCAAACCCCAGCGGCTTCCTGTGCAAAGACAGGCAGGGACGGGAGAATGGAATGGCCTTCTTAACAGCTCAGGAGTGTGCTGGGGACCCATGGAGCACCCCCGGCCTGCACAGCCAGGCCACCTGAGCTTCCCAGAGCATCCACTCCCGCCCTTCCCTCCGCCAGCAGGGGACGGTGTGCTCGTAACTGAGTGTTAGTCCACTCCTGTGGCTGTCACGAGCAGCTGAACTGAACAGTGAAAACTCCTTTTCTCTACTTAGACTTCAGATGTCCCTTGAACTCTAACCCATGAGGCCAGGACCCACCCACCTGCAACTGGGCCAAGGGCCTGAGGGCTAGAGTCTCATCCTAGAGAAAATGGGTGGTCAGGTGGTGAACTCGAACTTAATCCCAGCCCCAGCTTTCATCTTTACAGGCTGTGTAACACCGAGCAACATTCTGCACCTCTCTGTGCCTTGTTTCTCCACCTAGGAAATACTGACAATATCCCCTCCTTCCAGGTGAGGTGAGACACACACAAGATCGTAGACGGGACAGTGTGTTGTGTGTTGAGGGTGACATGCTTTTGTGAGTCACTCCGATATCGGCTCACTGTTTTCACTTCCTTGGACCGTGACCCACTTTGTGTCTGAAAGTTGATGAGGCCTTTAGTTTTCCAGATTAAAAAAAGAAGAAGGAGGCCCAGTGAGATTCGAATTTCAGATAAAGAAGGAATATTTTTCAGTATATGATGGTAGATTTTGTGGGGCACTCTAATACAAGGCAAATCCCAAATACAGCAAGGGAAGTATTTACACTAAGAAAGCGTTCATTGTTTATCTGGAATTCAAGTTTCACTGCATGCCCCAGGTTTTCAGTGGGCTCTCCCGGCACACCAGCCCTGCCAGACCATCAGTG